AGTTGAAGCTCACAAAGCTGGAGAAGGCTATAAGAAGATAGCAAAGCGTTTTGAGATGTCAATATCCTCTGTTTTCGGAATGTAATTAAGAAATGGCAGTCATCAGGAACAGTGGAAGTTAAAGCAAGATCTGGAAGACCAAGAAAAATATCAGACAGAACAGCACGCAGGATTGTGAGAAAAATACAATTCAAAACTCACGTTTGACTGCACGATCCCTCCAGAAAGATCTGGCAGACACTGGAGTTGTGGTACACTATTCCACTATAAAGAGATACTTGTACAAATATGGTCTTCATGGAAGAGTCATCAGAAGAAAACCTCTTCTACGTCCTCACCACAAAAATCATCGTTTGAACTTTGCAAATGAACATATAGACAAGCCTGATGCATTTTGGAAACAAGTTCTGTGGACCGATGAGGTTAAAATTGAACTTTTTGGCCGGAATGAGCAAAGGTACGTTTGGAGAAGAAGGGGCACAGAATTTAATGAAAAGAACCTCTGTCCAACTGTTAAGCATGGGGTTGGATCAATCGTGCTTTGGGGTTGTGTTGCAGCCAGTGGCACAGGGAACATCTCACGAGTAGAAGGAAAAATGGATTCAATAAAATTTCAGCAAATTGTGGATGGTAACTTGATGCCATCTGTGAAAAAGCTGAAGTTAAAGAGAGGATGGCTTCTACAAATGGATAATGATCCTAAAACACACCTCGAAATCCACGGGGGATTACATCAAGACGCGTAAACTGAAGGTTTTGCCATGGCCTTCACAATCTCCTGACCTCAACATAATTGAAAATCTATGGATAGACCTTAAAAGAGCAGTGCGTGACAGACAGCCCAGAAATCTCAAAGAACTGGAAGACTTTTGTAAGGAAGAATGGGCAAAGATACCTCAAACAAGAATTGAAAGACTCTTGGCTGGCTACAAAAAGCGTTTACAAGCTGTGATACTTGCCAAAGGGGGCAGTACAAGATATTAACTCTGCAGGGGCCCAAACTTTTGCAGACGCCATTTTTTTGTTTTCTGTTATTTTGAAAGTGTAAATGATGGAAATAAAATCTAACTTTTGTTGACATATTATAAGAATGTCTAATCTGTAATTTGATGCCTTTTGGAGATTTTTCCATCTTTCCTTGGCTTCTTTATGCACATTAATACAAATTTTTAGCTGGGGTGCCCAAACTTTCGATCCCCACTGTATATATATATATATACCATAACTGTGGGCAGGGTTGCTGTTAGAAACCACGGGGCCCCGTACAGCCAATGTAACAGGTCCCCCATATAAACACAATTTATTATGCTTCAGTTATGAATGAACACAGTGAGTGATCACTACCGATCACCATTGTGTTCATTCAGAAAAGGAAGGGACTGGTAAATGTGACATATTTATGGACCCTTCCCGCACTCTCCATCCTATTGATCCCATTGTATTCTTGCATCTGCCTGTGGGCAGGAGGAAGGGAGGATAGCCAGCAGCACTGTGGGAAAGGCACACAGGGGGGCTTGGGCAGCATGGGGAAATGTATGATGCACTGGGAGGGTGCTGCAGAGAGAGCCGTACAAGGGATCAGCTCCAGTAATTGCCCCCGCCCCTGCTGTGCCGATCACTCTTCCTGCTCACATCTGAATCACCCTGATGCTTGGGCCCCCCTGCTGGTCTGGGCCCCATACAGGAGGACCAGTGGTACCCCCTTATCCACGGCCCTGCCTGTTGGATCCCTATAGAAGCTAGAAATCACTTTATAGACACACCGCTGCTCCAGTGATCTCCACTAGATTCCGGGTCCTGTCCATCTGCTATGCTGCATTGTGAACACAGGTCAGACATTGGGCACAGGCACCATTCAGAAAATGCTTTGGATTTTCTCAACAAATGCAAAGCATTCTATGATTGGATGAGGTGGAGAGGTGGAGCAGTGATGTCACAATCTCCACCTTGTCCAATCAGAGAATGCTTTGCATTCACTGAGAAAACGCAAAGTAATCTCTGAATGGCAACCGTCCCACTGCCGACCTCCTGTGCTCACAATGCAGCAGGTCTATCGCTTGGCACAAGACGTGGAATCTAGTGGAGAACACTGGGAGTAGTGGTGTCTATACATTGTTTTCCAGCTTCCAGAACAGGGGTCTCCAAACTTCCAAGCAAAGGGCCAGTTTACTGTCCTTCAGGCTTTAAGGGGGATGGACTATGGCCAGTGGAAGTAGAAAATGCCCCCCCATCAGCACCCCATCATTGGGTTTAATGGGAGGAATAGTGCCCCATTATTGATATCAATGAGAAAAATAGTGTCCCATTGTAGATATCAATTAGAAGAATAGTGCCCCATTGATGGTGTCCATAGGGGGGATTGGTGTTCCAGTATTGGTGTCAGTTGGTGGAATAGAGTCCCAAGGGCCAGATAAAGTGAGTTTTTCGTGTTTTTTGTTTTGCTGTTTTGGTTCTGGTTTGTTCTTTGTGTTTGTCCTGTTGTTTGTTTTTGTGTGAGTTCCTTGAGTTTGTTTCTTGCCTGAAAAAGCATTTGTGTCCCGAGGTGTTTGTCTGTTTTGTCATGGCAGCTGGCAGGGGTCGATGTGTCTTTGAAGGCGGTGCTGGAGTGACAATTTGGTGGATTATGGGTTGGGCCCATCATAGGTATGGGTGTCCCTTCCCAATTATAAGGTCACCTTGGTAATGTGGGAGTTCATTGGCTGTATCTGGGACTACGTAACTGTAGTATTGTCCCCAAGGGGGTGTAGTAGTGGCTGGGGGTCTTTTCATTGGATGTCAGATACAGCCGAGTTTTGGATGTGAGTAACGGTGCCTTCGAAGACCTTGGACCCGGTTGGGATCATTACTGTCAGTTATTATTTGAGTGTACTGTAAGGCGTGTTATGTTAGAGTTATGTTAAATAAATGGCTGCTATGGCCGGTTTTACACCAAAACAGTTGCGTGTTTATTTAGGTGGGGGAGGTAGAAGGGTGGGGGTGGTTTTATGGATTAGGGGTAAGTATTAGCCTCGATATTCTGCATGTCCAAGAGTCATGTCTTTGGATAGTTGGTTGCCTCCTTCTATTATCTTCCAAACATCTCTCCTGTGAAGTCTTCAGACCAGGTCCCCCAAAGAAATCCCTCCGTCAGTTCCAGCAGGACAGGCCGCCCAGCTAGAAAACCTGGGACCTCAGTAAGTAGTCGAACACACAACTGGTCTTCCCAGAAGGGTAATAGACCTTCCAGGCTGGGATCTCCTCCTCTTGGGCAAGAACCCCTCTGCTCCAGGCCTTGGGCTATTTATGCTCCCTTCTTGCCACCTTCTGGGTCCTCTCCCAGGGATTGGCTGGGACCACATAACTATTCATACTATAAATTTGACTCTACTAACCCATTATCTTCTAGAACCATCCAGAAAACAGGGGGAAGCAGTCAACTCACAACCTGCGAAACTCAGAGCAGACCAAAGCAATCACAGGCAGCTCCACTGATTACAGGAGAGCTAAGAACTAAATGTACCTAAACCTAGCACCTATCTAGGAGGGTGATACCAGTTGTGACCTTTACCAAGCTGTTCCTAAATGACTGGGACAAAATAGTGAGCCAATCCTAATGTGGACCTGAACCCAAAAAAATAACAATTTGGCATCATATAGAGAACACCCGGAAAAGTTACCTATAGAAATGTTAATTATCCATATACAACCCCCTGACAAATCTACCTTTTGACTTAAATTCCCCCTTATTAATAGCAGTGCACTTCTTTTACCTACAGTCTTATAGCTGTATATCTGCAGTGCGCGATCTGAGGGCTGTTTGATCCTGTCTTCTTTGATCCTCACCTTCTACTGTCCCCAATTCATCTGCTGATAGTACAGAGCTCTAGGACTTACTTTGCACATGCTCAGTTTAGTTTGTAGTGCTAGAGATTTTTTTTTTTCCTTTGGGATAATGCATGTGATCAGCACAGGGCCAATCAGCACTATCCAGGCAGAGGGTCAGGGGTTATACAGCCTCATAGGACCATCAGGAGAGAATAAAAACTCCTCCTACAAGCTTCAATCAGTGCTCTGCTGGACACTGTTAGCAGTCACAAGACCGCTATATACTGCTGATGAGAAAAGGTATTTAGCAGTTTATATTTACTACAATAATTGCATTCCATGTTGTGTGTATTGTGGGAGACCAGATATAGTGAATGCAGGGTCTGGGGGAGACCAGATATAGTGAATGCAGGGTCTGGGGGACACCAGATATAGTGGATGCAGGGTCCGAGGAGACCAGATAGAGTGAATGCGGGGTTCAGGGAGACCAGATATAGTGAATGCAGGGTCTGGGGAGACCGTATATAGTGAATGCAGGGTCCGGGGGAGACTTAATATAGTGAATGCAGGGTCTGGGGAGGCTGAATATAGTGAATGCAGGGTCCAGGGAGAACAGATATAATGAATGCGGGCTCCGGAGAGACTGGATATAGTGAATGCAGGGTCCGGGGAGGGAGACCAGATATAGTGAATGCAGGGTCCTGGAAGACCAGATATAGTGAATGCAGGGTCCAGGGAGACCAGATGTAGTGAATGCAGGGTCCGGGGAAACCAGATATAGTGAATGCAGGGTCCGGGGAGACCAGATATAGTGAATGCAGGGTCCAGGGAGACCAGATGTAGTGAATGCAGAGTCCGGGGAGAGCAAATATAATGAATGCAGGGTCCGGGGAGACCGGATATAGTGAATGTAGGGTCCGAGGAGACTGGATATAGTGACTGCAGGGTCTGGGGAGACCAGATATAGTGAATGCAGGGTCCGGGGAGACCAGATATAATGAATGCTGGCTCCGGAGAGACCGGATATAGTGAATGCAGGGTCCAGGGAAACCAGATATAGTGAATGCAAGGTCCGGGGAGACCGGAAATAGTGAATGCAGGGTCCGGGGAGAGCGGATATAGTGAATGCAGGGTCCGGGGAGAGATATAGTGAATGCATGAGGGTCTGGGGAGAGCGGATATAGTGAATGCAGGGTCTGGGGAGAGCGGATATAGTGAATGCAGGGTCCGGGGAGAGCGGATATAATGAATGCAGGGTCCGGGGAGAGCGGATATAGTGAATGCAGGGTTCGGGGAGAGCAGATATAGTGAATGCAGGGTCCATGGAGACCAGATATAGTGAATGCGGGGTCCGGGGAGAGCGGATATAGTGAATGCAGGGTCTGGGGAGACCGGATAAAGTGAATGCAGGGTCCGGGGAGACCGGATATAGTGAATGCAGGGTCCCGGGGAGACCGGATATAGTGAATGCGGGGTCCGGGGAGACCGGATATAGTGAATGCGGGGTCCGGGGAGACCAGATATAGTGAATGCAGGGTCCGGGGAGACCAGATATAGTGAATGCAGGGTCCAGGGAGAGCGGATATAGTGAATGCAGGGTCCGGGGAGAGCGGATATAGTGAATGCAGGGTCCTGGGAGACCAGATATAGTGAATGCAGGGTCCGGGGAGAGCGGGATATAGTGAATGCAGGGTCCGGGGAGAGCGGATATAGTGAATGCAGGGTCCTGGGAGACCAGATATAGTGAATGCAGGGTCCGGGGAGACCAGATATAGTGAATGCAGGGGTTTAGGAACACTTTTAGAATAGGATAGGATGCATAATTTGTATACCAGTTTAAAGTCACTGTAAATTCTGTACATTTCCACTAGATGGCAGTAGAGGAATAAGAATACATTTAAAGAGCCCATTACTTCTTTAGCAATCATTGTTCTTAGGTAAAGGAACTCTAGGGGGAGATTTACTAAAACTGGAGCACTCAGAATCTGGTGCACCTGTGCATGGGAGCCAATCAGCTTCTAACTTCAACTTCTTCAATTAAGCTTTGACAATAAAACCTGGAAGCTGATTGGTTTCTATGCACAGCTGCACCAGATTTTGCACCCTCCAGTTTTACTAAATAACCCCAAAGTGTATGTAAACCCTATTTTTTTTTTTTTTTTTTCATTTTGGATAGGAAAGGGTTAGATCCCCTATCCTCTCTTTGCTTGTCCTGGTGACCTGGTGGAAGATGTCACCCTCTATTTCTGCTCTTTGCTTTTTGGATTTCCGTTCATTTTCTGTCCCCAACGACAAAGGCCACCAAGGCAAATTGGGTGCTCTTTTTCCCCAGCGGGGGACACAGACAGTAATGAAAGACTAACAGAGGTTCTAACCTTTCCCCTCCCCATCCAGAACTGTTTTGATGTCAATACCCTGTAAATCCGTGGTGCCCAACCTTTGTTTGGGGGCATGTGTTGCACTTTGGCCCCGGGGCCCCTGTACATCGTAGCCTGTGTTTTGTTCGCTAAGTTAAAGTAGAACTAACATTTTGGGTTAAGAGGTGAAGGATTACAACCCCTGTCTGTTTTGTTTTGTTTTTTTTTTAATTTTCCCTTTTAGGGAGGTTCCCCCCTGTATTAGTCCTGTTTACCATTATCACTGGGAATAAAAGAAAATCCCAAATTTTAGTTCTGGTGACAACTAGGGAAATCTTTCACTTTGGAGGGATTTCTTCTCATTTCCTCTTGTTGCTTTAGTGAACAGGGCTGGATCTAGAGGGGAGCTGGGGTGGGCCATGCCCCCCCCCCCAAATTTTAGTCATGCCCCCTCCCAGCTCTGAGAGTGCATTCACGGATCCATGAGTCAGTATGATGCAGTTGATGTAAGGGGGCACTCTGTTGGGGACAATCCATGTAACGGGGGACTGTGATGGGAACACTGATGTAAGGGGGCACACTGATGGGGATAACTTATCAAATGTAAGGGGGCACTCTGATGGGGACACTGATGTAAGGGGGTTTCCTGATGGGGACACTGATGTACAGGGGTGTTCTGATGGTGTCACCAATGTTACGGGGTGTTCTATTGGGGTCATTGATGTAAGGATGCCCTCTGATTTGGAGACCTGATGTACGGGAGCACGCTGATGGGGACCTTGATATAAGGGGGTACTCTGATGGGGATAACTTATCAAATGTAAGGGGGCACTCTGATGGGGACAATCCATGTAAGGGGGGACTGTGATGGGGACACTAATGTAAGGGGGCACACTGATGGGGATAACTTATCAAATGTAAGGGGGCACTCTGATGGGGTCACCAATGTAAGGAAGCACTCTGATTTGGAGACCTGATGTAAGGGGATACTCTAATGGGCACCTGATGTATGGGAGCACACTGATGGGGGGCCCTGATTTAAGGGGGTACTCTTGACGGGAATCTGAAATAAAGGGGCACTCTGATGAGGACAATCCATGTAAAGGGGGACTGTGATGGGGACACCAATGTAAGGAAGCACTCTGATTTGGAGACCTGATGTAAGGGGATACTCTAATGGGCACCTGATGTATGGGAGCACACTGATGGAGACCCTGATTTAAGGGGGTACTCTGACGGGAACCTGAAATAAAGGGGCACTCTGATGAGGACTCCTGCTGTAAATGGGGACTCTGATATGTACATCTGATATAAGGGAGAACAGGCTCTGTTTAATCACCTTTTAAACCAATGACAGCCTAATACATAATAGTGTTTCCCAGGTGGTGACACTGTGGGACAGACTGTCAGTGACTCACACACAGTGTTGACATCATGCTCGGCCTTCTTGTTGTTCTAATTCATATAAATAAAGCTGGTAACCGTACATTCTCTAGACTTGACAAAACGCATGAGCGCGAAACGCGTTGTCACGGTTACCAGCCAAGCTTGCATCTCATGTCCAGGACTCTGCTTCCGCCCTCATCCCGGTCGCAGTTGACGTCACTTCTGGAGTGCCGCAATCCCCGGCCGGCTCGGACACATACCATGGAACAGCCTCCCTTCCCGGCTCGGGGACGCAGGGGAGCGGATGGTCCACCGCACGGTCCTGGGACAGACTGCATGGCATGTCATCATACCAAAGGTTTAACATTGGAACAATAAAGGTGCACCTCCCTGGGAGGTGAATATGGATTTTATCTCACTTTCACAAGCTGTTTTCTTGGGCTCAAATACTTCACTTTGTAGAGCGTTACATCAGTAGCAGTGAAAAGTGATCCCCATTCAGGGGCGGACTGACCATTTGGAAACTCGGCACTGCCCGAGGGCCCGGGGTCAGTAGGGGGCCCCATGAGATGCCCCTGGTACCCTTTTCATAGGCTTTTTTGAGTTTTGGCAAGGACACAGGGGCCCCATGATCCCCTATTGCCCGGGGGACCCAAGAGTTGTCAGTCCGCCCCTGTCCCCATTATTGAGCACTTGCGCTTTGACCCTCTGTTCCAGTTGACATCATGCCCCCTGACTTTTTTTTTACTGCACCCCCAGATCAGAGAGGCCAGATCCGGCCCTGATAGTGAAGGAAGTGAAGGGAAATCTCCCCAATGGGACACGGATGGCAAAAGAAACTGTTAGAGGTTATAACCCTACTTTGTCCAAAATGAACACAATGTTTGGAGGCAGTGGAGGAACGTTATTCTTTAGACTTGCTGGTCTGGATCATTCTTTTCCATTGTCTTACGTCTTTCAGTGCTATCCATCACTTTTCTATTTCTTTGTTTTTAATTTTGCAAGCTTTCTTTTGTAATGGAATAGTAGTGATCTCTAGCAGTCTCATGTAATGTGTCTCCAATCTCAAACTGTCTTCTAAAGAATGTCCCCAATCTACAACAACTCCTATTTTATGTTTTCAGCCTGACCATCTTTTGTAGCATGCCCATAGTCTCTGACAATCTCCTGAGCATGCCCATAGTCTCTGACAATCTCCTGAGCATGCCCATAGTCTCTCAAAATCTCCTGAGCTTCCCATAGTCTCTGACAATCTCCTGTAGCATGCCCATAGTCTCTCACAATCTTCTGAACATGCCCATAGTCTCTGACAATCTCCTGTAGCATGCCCATAGTCTCTCACAATCTTCTGAACATGCCCATAGTCTCTCACAATCTCCTGAGCATGCCCATAGTCTCTGACAATCTCCTGTAGCATGCCCATAGTCTCTGGCAATCTCCTGAGCATGCCCATAGTCTCTCACAATCTCCTGAGCATGCCCATAGTCTCTGACAATCTCCTGTAGCATTCCCATAGTCTCTGACAATCTCCTGTAGCATGCCCATAGTCTCTGGCAATCTCATGTAGCATGCCCATAGTCTCCTACAATCTCCTGTAGCATGCCCATAGTCTCCTACAATCTCCTATAGCACGCCCATAGTCTCTAACAATCTCCTAAGCATGCCCATAGTCTCCTACAATCTCTTCTATCATGCCCATAGTCTCTCTCAATCTCCTGAGCATACCCATAGACTCCTACAATCTCTTCTATCATGCCCATAGTCTCCTACAGTCTCCTCCAGCATGCCCATAGACTCTGACAATCTCCTGTTGCATGCCTATAGTCTCTCACAATCTCCTCTAGCATGCCTATAGTCTCTCACAATCTCCTGTAGCATGCCCAAAATCTCTGACAATCTCCTATAGCATGCCTATAGTCTCTCACAATCTCCTGTAGCATGCCCAAAATCTGACAATCTCCTGTAGCATGCCCATAGTCTAATAATCTCCTGTAACATGCGTGTAGTCTCCTACAATCTCCTGTATCATGTCCATAGTTTCTGACAATCTCCTGTAGTGTGCCCATAGTCTCTGACATTATCCAGTAATATGCTCATAGTCTCTGACAATCTCTTGCAGCATGCCCATAGTCTATGACAAACTCCAGTAATATGCCCATAGTCTCTGACAATTTCTTGCAGCATGCCCATAGTCTCTGACAATCTTCTATAGCATGCCCATTCCTGTAGTATGCCAATAGTCTCTGACAATCTCCTGTAGCATGCTCATAGTATCTGACAATCTCTTGTAGCATGCCCATAGTCTCTAACAATCTCTTGTAGCATGCCTGTAGTCTCTGACAATCTCTTGTAGCATGCCTACTGTCTCTGACCATCTCATGTAGCATGCCTGTAGCTCTTATAGCATGCCCATAGCCTCTGACCATCTCCTGTAGCATGCCCATAGTCTCTGATGATCTCTTGGAGCTTGTCCATAGCCTCTGACTATCTCCAGTAGCATGCCTGCAGTCTCTGACCATCTCCTGTACTATGCCAGTAATCTCTGTACATCTCCTGTAGCCTGCTGGTAGTCTCTTACCATCTCCTGTAGCATGCCCATAGTCTCTGACCTTATCCTGCAGCATGCCCATAGTCTGTGATGATTACCTGTTGCCTGTATGCAGTCTATGACAGCTTTTTGCAACATTTCATTCACTTACTGGCCCTTTGGTGATATCAGAGGCTGCACCTAAGGTCCCCTATGTCAAGTACATTGACCAACACTGACTGAATCATAGCAGCAACAGGCCATTGATATTGGTACTTAAAAGTTTGGCCCAAGCTCTGAGATTTTCTAGAACAGGAAAATCATAGATAAGTGTTACATGTGGTAAAAGCTTCGCTAGAAGTTGAGCCCTCAGATGTCTCTTGGGATGGACCGTCACTGAAATGATCTCCATAACCAAAGTGACATCTACAGGGATATGCTGACAGGTCGGAGGAGATGAATCGTGCCCACCCTTGAACAGT